ACTGATGTAGTACTTAAAGTTACCACTAGGGAGCGCTTCTTTTTTCCATTGTGGCCTTTAATTCTTCGGCCAGTGTGAGACGATGTTCTTTCCGATCCTTCTTCTGACTATCAGCAGGATGCAGCCGCTCTGCTGGCATGGGCACTTGTGGAGGAGGGGGTGCAGGAGGGACAGGTAGAAGAGCAGTCAAAGGCAGGGCTGGTGTTGGAGGAGGAATAGGTGGAGTTACCCATGTGGTTGCTCCAACCCCCAGGGGTCGCTTAGTGTTTCCTGCATTCAAAGCCATTTGCAGCTGATTTGTTAACAAAGCAATATGATTTTTGCTCATCTCGGCTCTGCAGTTCGCTAACTCCCTCAATAAAGCATCTCTCTCCTCTTCTGCCCTCGCACGTGCAGCATCAGCACGCGCACGCGCAGCATCGGCACTCGCACGCGCAGCATCGGCACTCGCACGCGCAGCATCGGCACTCGCATGCGCAGCATCGGCACTCGCACGCGCAGCTTGCTCTTCTACCAGCTCTCTCTCTCTGTCAGACAGCTGTTCATTTCACGGACAACATCAGTTAAAGCAGCAACTTGCTCATGCAAACTTTTCTGTTCTCGGTCAGCGTTAGTTTATGCAATCACATCTTTCCGACGGCGAATCTGACACAGCACAACAAGTGTCCACTGCAACCGTTTTTCTCCCATCTCCGATGCGCTGTGCTTTTCCCCATGATCTTCGCATGTCATCCAAAGACCAAATGCCAAATGAATCTGTATTGATAGCATACTTCTCATGGATGTCAGCAGCAGTCAACTTCAAACATCAAGCTGTGTCCAGATATTCACTGAGATTTTTCATCATATACTCCACTTCAACATCTGGAGGTTCATTCCTCCCTTCTCAGTAGTCGGCCTTGCGGAAACATTAATTCTACTCCATAAGCTTAAGCAGTTTATTAAGACAGAATGAAGATGTTACAGAAAGATGTTTCACATGGCCAGTTCAGTGTCTGTCTGTGTCTTGCATTTTTTGTTTTTCCATTGCAGTCAAGGATTTTTATAAAATAGAGTTGTTAAAAAAAAAACATGGGAATTCATCACCTTGTGAGGACATTTGGTCCCCACCAGGTAAGGTATACCTGGACCACACACACACACAGACACGCACACACACACACACACACACAGACTAACACACAGACATAGTGACAAGCACTCACACACACACTCTTCCGTAGCAATCATTCACATTGCTGCTACCAGCCCTCCTAGACTCCTATGAATATGAATGCCTGCTGATGGTTTTTTTTCACAGGGATAAAATGAAAATGTTACAAAATTCATGGATCATCATCATTCTGCCAGGGCTGCAGAATCACTCTGGATTTGCTCCAGGGGACAGCATTTGGACTGAACGGTGTTTCATAGATGGAACGTTCATTATACACACCAACGTAACTTATATAATGTGCAGGCAGATTGACCATCTCTGCCTCAACTGACCATCAGTTTAAAAAGCATAAAATGTACCACCAGTCCAAATTTTAAAGACACAAACTGAACTTTTCAGGGGCAACACGATCAAAGGTGTTTCTTTGTCCCTCAAATACTAAGAACTAAGCTACACAGGGCTCCGGCCCCCCAGGACTGCAGTTTGTCATCCCTGCACTAGACAAAGCCTCCTTGCTTGAACACTAGCAGCAACAAATCCCCAGCTTAATGAAATCCTGGCCTTTTAGAGCCTGGACTTAAAATACATAGATTGTAAGAGTCTAAAAGTCACCCAGTAAATTACACATCTCTTTCAAACAGGTCTTCAGTATTGGTCTTCTCCAGAAAGGAGGGCCTTCGAGTACCCAGGGACTTTTTTTAGTAGCCTACAGAAACAGAAGACTAAACAATTCAATTAAAAAAACTTTATTTATCCCCGAGGGCAAATTAAAGGCACACAGGACAGTTGAACAATAAAGTGCAACAGTATTTACAGTATTTAGACTAGTATTTAAACAGGTGATTTACTGTCATTGCACTAAATATTGCATATATCCTAATCCAGTTATTGCACTTTTAGACTTTTAGTCCAACATTAATAAAGCTATATATCTTGTTAAAGTAACATCAACTATCAATCATTTTCTTTTGTATAAGGGACGTTCCAGGGCTCTCAAGTTTCACCCAAAGTTTGGAGTGAGATTACATCTGTTAGGGCTGGATCGTGTGTCTAACTGTGAATGTGTGAGACTTCAGAGCCCTGCCTACCACATTCGTCCGATGTTGCTCTTCCACTCCCACCTTGTCTGCACTCTGTTTGTGTGTGCATCCATGTAATAATGTGCTTGTAGTGGGATCACATCTGACTTATTTTGGAATTGACATGGAGACACCAAAAAGCTATTTTCTGATTGGCTGGTTGGTGGCTATTAACTCTATATAATTTGGGACAGTTATGAACTCTGCAGAAAACTCTGCTCTATATGCCTGCGCCTTGTCCAGTAATTCTACATAACAGAACAACTTGGTGGGTGTTATTTTTTACTTATCAGCATGAGAAATACAAGATGTGGCATGTGAGCTGGTGGAACTGCATGTGTATCGTGAGCAGTTCGTGAAACTTGAGAGCCCTGGGACCTTCAGTCAATGCAGACCGAGTGACTGCCTCAGGTCCTGCAGGAGAAAACCACTCCATAAATCAGAAAACGTTCAATAAAATAGATAGAATAATTTGTGCCCTCCTTATTGTCTGTGCAAATCTGCTGAATGTTTACATTAAGCTGTGCAACTTGAACATGCTAAGGTGGGTAACTGAGAGGACTTTCATTACAGATAGACTTGGAAATGGATACAGAGAAAAAGGTTAGATGACTGGGAGTGACAGAGAACATTAGTTTGGTGATAACTTATGTAATCATATTTACAGTCTCTGACCCAATGTTATCTATGAAAGTCCTGTGCAAATCAAACAAGGATTTGTCTCCTTGCCAAAACAATTGTGAAACATATTAGAAAATATATTGTTATTTATTCTGCAGTGGTTAAGCTGTTATGGATAATGTAATCAAGGATATACAGACGGTCCTCTACTTACGAACTTTCATACATACGAACGAAGAGGACTGCAAGTACAAATTGTGTTCCTTGGGCTCCCGTTTCCTGTCCGCAACATCCGTTTTTTTTTCTGTACGCCAGTTCCGCCTACTACGACTTCTGACTGCTACTCCCGCTACTCAGCAGCGTAGCATGCATACTCCCAGCATCCCAGTTCTTTGTACTTGTATATACCATTAAAATAATGTTAAATAACGATTTACAAACATTTCAAGTTACGGACAACCGTTTGGAACATAACTCTTTCGTAAGTAGAGGAGCGTCTGTATAAAGAACACACTATACTATTTAGGGTAAATATCTAAATTAATACTGTGACATTACTCAGCGGAGGAACACCTCAAACATTTTCAACATCGATAATTTCACTCCTTGACAAAATTGTCTGCAAGAGTTTGGGTGTTTTTTTGGGTGTCTTGGACTTTTATCATTGCAGTTGGCAGATGTGTTTCATCTGATAGCTTCTCTGAAGAGCTGAACATGAATAAACTCACAAACAAACTTACATTTCCAACAACTCCAGTGCTGAGCTGCACTTATATTTGCCTTGCTGAAGGATGTTCTGACACTGGGCTCTCATTGCAATGGCGTTTGTTTGTAAACGTTATGAAACAGGCCAAGTTCACCCAGAATGCGCCATTTGCTAGGGTTTCATGCAACTAAGCTTGGCTTAATTGTATGTTGCTTTGGAAGAAAGCATATGTTAAATACATTTAAATGTTAAAAAGATGGTGGTGGTTGATCTGAATTACCTTTAAAATGTAGAGCATGCCCTGCCACTGGGTTTTCAACCTCATCAATTTCTGGGTTTCATAAAACACCGAGAACTGGTGCACAGCCACCTACGTTAACATACGTAGCTGACTCAACTCAAGATTACAGTCATATGTTACTTAATCATGTGGGGACATTCTGAGAAAAGCATTGGTAGGCAATTTTGTCATTATGAGAACATCGCAGAGCAGGATTCCCCAATTCTGGTCTTGGAGGGTCAGAATCCAACACAGTTTGCAGATTTGCCTGTTCAAACACACCAAATGGTGAAAGAATGGGTCATCCTGAAGAGCTCAGTGCATTCAAGCATGGTACTGTCATACGATGCCGTCTTTACAAAAAGTTCATAAAATTTCTTCCCTGGTAGATATTCTACGGTCACCGGTAAGTGATATTATTACAAAGAGGAAGTGTTTAGGAACAACAGAAACTCGTAAAGACCACGTAAAGTAACAGAGTGGGGTCATCCAGTGTTGAGGCGCATAGTTTGTAAATGTCACTAATGCTCTGTTGACTCAATAACTACAGAGTTCCAAACTTACCCTGGCATTAATCACAGCACAAAAACTGCACTGGGAGCTTCATGGAATGGGCTTCCATGGCCAAGCATCTGCATGCAAGCTTCACATCATCAAATGCAATGCCAAGCATTGGATGGAGTGGTGTAAAGCACAATGCCACTCAATTCTGGAGCAGTGGAAACATGTTCTGTTGGAGTGACGAGTCACGCTTCTCTGTCTGACAGTCTGATGGATGAGTCTGGGTTTGGTGGATGCTAGGAGAACATTGCCTGTCTGACTGCATTGTGCCAACTGTAAAGTTTGGTGGAGGAGGGATAATGGTATGGGGCTGTTTTTCAGGGGTTGAGGCAGACCCCTCAGTTCTAGTAAGGGAAACTTATTGATTCAGCAAACCAAGACAATTTTGACAATTCTATGCTTCCAACTTTGTGGGAACAGTTTGCGGAAGGTCCTTTTCTGTTCCAGCATGACTGTGCTCCAGTGCACAAAGCAAGGGCCTTAAAGACAAGTTTGGGCGAGTTTGCTGTGGAAGAACTTAAATAGCCTACACAGAGCCCTGACCTAAATCTGTTAGCACTAACAGCCTTGATTCCCTCCCCCCCCCTCCCCCAACAGGAACTTCTACTACATCACACTACTGCGTGACCCTGTGTCACGTTACCTGAGTGAATGGAAGCACGTGCAACGTGGTGCCACCTGGAAGACATCACTTCACATGTGCGACGGGCGCTCACCCACGCAGGATGAGCTGCCCACCTGCTACCAGGGAGATGATTGGTCGGATGTAGCTCTATCTGAGTTCATGGACTGCCCCTCAAATCTGGCCAACAACCGACAGGTGCGGATGCTTGCCGACCTCAGTCTAGTGGGCTGCTACAACCTGTCCTCCATGAACGAGAGTGAGCGGAGCCGGACCCTGCTGAGCAGCGCCAAGACCAACCTGAAGAACATGGCCTTCTATGGGCTCACCGAGTTCCAGCGCAAGACGCAATACCTGTTCGAGCGAACGTTCCACCTGCGCTTCATCTCGGCCTTCACGCAGATCAACAGCACACGAGCGGCCTCCGTCAATGTGGCCAAGGACATACATCGCCGCATTGAAGCCCTCAACAGCCTCGACATGCAGCTGTACGACTTCGCCAAGGACCTCTTCCTGCAGCGTGTCCAGTTTTCCCAGCAGCAGGAGCGCCATGAGGAGCGCCTCCGGAGGCATCAGGAACGGTGCCGGCCAAGGGAGCATCGGGCCATCCTCTCACGGCACCGCTGGGAGGAAGAGGAGGCCGCCACCCCCCTGGATTATGGCAGCCAGGTGGTGCGCTGGTAAGAGGCACATGTCCCTACATGGCGAGCAGATTACTCCCTCTCCAGTGTAGGTCACGACCCCCCTGCCTTCCCCTCCCCGTATCTCATGTCCTCTTGCCCTCTAATCCATTTAAGTTCCACTTGTCCTCTGCCACATTCGCCGCCTGCTGCTGATCCTGGCAAAAGTTCAAAGCAAATATTTCTGAATTGATTTTTTTTAAAAACTGATTTGACTTATACAATGGCACTGTTGAATTCTCAAATCTGATTGGTCAGAAGGGTGTTCGATTAATTTTCTATACCTGCATAGCGCCAGCCACGCAAATCATAGTAGTCAATCAATGTGTGGTTATAATCTTTAATTCCAGAAGTTGAACACAACCTTATTACCTGAAATCAAAGTTTTGATGGTGTTGTACTTAGTTTTAATAAGGACACAACTGTGTTACAGCTGATCAATAAGGACCAACCATCATCATTTACTGTAACCAGGTAGGGTTATTTGCAGTGAAAAGCAGTGCATGATTTTCCACTGGAAAGAAAGGCAGGTCAAAAAGGATCGCATGCATGGAGCTGGAACAGTGCAGCTTTCCGCCCCCATCTTTCAATGTTGAAAAACGTGCAAGGTTTGCTTTTTCCAGACTGTGCTTTAACTTCTTTTTATAAGTATAAATCTGCATTCTGATGTCTCTTTAATGTAAAATGAAAAAGTCATGTTTTTTTCTCATTACCAATTTTATCATCCATTATCTTGTAACTGAAAATAAATTGCTGACATGCAAAATAAAGACTTTCTTTGTTGTTCTGAAGTCAAAAAAAAATTAAATTAAAAAATTAATAAATAAATAAATAATCAGTTGTTGTCTTGTTTACCAAGACAGGTGGGTGTTCCTAGGAAGCTTGTGTTGAAACAGCTTGCTGTCATTGGCAGTATGAAGGCCAGCAGTCCCTGAGCCTTCAGCACAGCCATTCTGGTAGGGGTGCCGCGCTGCAAGAGGCCCAAGGAGTCTGTCCACATTGGGAGGGGCATGAGAGAGCTCTTAAGGAGATCACAGGCTTCGAGATAATTTAGCTCACTTAAATTGAGAAGTGAAAACATCTCATTACAAGAGTTAAGAGTCAGACCTTTTACAGAAGATAATATTAAGAGAAAGGTCACAGGTACACCAGCGTGGTCCCCATCTGAGGGACAGCAGCTTGCCTCTCAGCATGTATCAGCCGCTCCCCACACCAGTGCTGGTCACAAACTGACAGCTATGTTCGCCTGAATCCCTCATCCTGGTTCCTCACAGTCCAGGTCAGTAAGAAGTCTGCTCTTTGAGCAGCGGAGGTAAATATCCTTTTCTTTAAACACATCTTGGTTGCGTGACAATGCAGGCACTCACATGAGATTCTGCTGATATTATTTTCACCATTTCTAGGAATGGGAAATCACTATTACCAGTCATTAAGTAAGCACAAAAGAAAATTACATTTTTGTAACAAGTACACTATTCAAACTATGTTCACATTACTATTTCCACCTGAAATTTCTCATACCTCATTTGCATTATAGATCATGATCTTTTGGCCTGCAAAATACAAAAAATACTAACATTGAATATAAGTAATATTAATCATAATAATATAGCTATAATTTTCAGGCAGTCAAGCCTGTGTATCCTTGAAACAGATCAGATGGTTGCTGTCAACTCATTCGGACTGTAGACAATTCTGTTAACCACCTGGAGGTTATCTTCTCATCAGGTCTCCCATTCTCCACCAGTACAGCATTCACTTTCTGGAAGATAAGAGGTAAGTCATTTCAACATTAAACCACTAGTGGGAGCTACTCTACCACTGTCTTACCTGCATATTCAGAGAATATAAGTATATGCTTATATGCTCAATGACCATCTGAGGTGCAAATTCTGAAACACTTTCTGCCTTTGTACGGCTCAATCTACTCTGTCTACAGGCAGAGGGCAACATAAAAAAGACAATATCCACGGACAGTTTAGGGGCTCTCTCAGCAGCCTTACAGCAGAGCTCCAATTACCTTTCAGTTTCCTTGCTCAAAGGTACAGCAGTTGAAGCCTTCAGGATTTGGACTGTGAAGCTTGTGGATCCATGCCCCTGGACACCACTACAGCCTAACCTATGTGTCACTGTATTTTGCCATTATTCCAAGTGCCGCACTTCCAGTACAACTTTCCAGACCAGTTTGACCCTTAAGCCCACATGGCTGCAGACAAGCCTAAAATGCAGAGAAGCCTGTGTCATCCGTTCCCCAGGTCACACGAGACTTGGGCTGAAACAATATCTCAAGCACTTAACTAAGATATTTGGCAAATTGCTGCAATCAGAATCTTTTTCTACCTAGTGTCTGTGAAACACTTTGAAGAATGCATTGCTTTATATGTATAACCATGAAATATCCAGAGACAACACAAGCACTTTCTATTGTATTCATTAGGGCATTAAGAGGGTCCTCTATACAATAAATATTAAATTAATGATGCTCCCAATTGACAGGGACCTAATTGATGCCTCTCTTACATTTTCAGATCAGCTGTTCGAAGCTGAAGCCTCTTCAGCCAGCGTTTCTTGAATCAGAAGCCTACACACAGTATGAAATTGAGTTTATGTTGTGTCTGAACTGAACTTCATATAACGCAAATATCTAAAAATAGCCAAATAAATAATTATTTAAAGGGACATTACATGGAATGTTCCTTTAAATAGGAAATTCTATCATTCATTTAGCAAATTCATCAATACAATTAGCCCTCCATGAATCACCTCCTTATCGTGGTGGAGCAGTTTTTGTGCTTCTGTGGTCCTAGAAGCTATGGTGTTGGTAGGGTTTCCCAAGGCAAAGTGGCCCTTGGTGAGCAGCCAGAGTAAATGCAGTTCAAATAGACTCCCACGATGACTACAATAAATGACCATGTTACAACGTCTGGACTGGGGAGACCAGGGTCTCTGGGTCCTGAAGCCAGGCCAGGGTGGAGCTCGAGTGCCTGGTGGCCAGGCCTCCACCCATGAGTCTCAGCTGGGCATAGCCTGAAGAAATAACGTGGGTCCGCCCTCCTGTGGGCCCACCACCTGCAGGGGGAGCCGTGGAGATCAGGTGCAATGTAGAATGCAGGGGCCTCAGCTGACCGATTGTCAGCTACCAAAACTAGCTCTAGGTACATGGAATGTAACCTGTCTGGTGGGAAATGAGTCTGAGCTGGTGTGGGAAGTAGAGAGCTGAGAATGAGGTGGTCAGGATGAGGATCAGCACCTCCAAGTCTGAGGCCATGGTTCTGTAAAAGGGTGGATTACCCTTTTCTGGTGGGGGATGAGTTGCTGCTTTAAGCAGAGGAATTTAAGTATCTTGGGTTCTTGTTCACGAGTGAGGGAAGAAAGGAGCGGGAGATCAGCAGACAGATTGGTGCAGTGTTGGCTGTAATGCGGACACTGTACCATTCTGTTTAGGTGAAGAGGGAACTAAGCCGGAAGGCAAAGCTCTCTGTTAACTGGTTGATCTACGATCCTACCCTCACCTACAGTCATGAACTATGGGTAGTGACCGTAAGAATGAGATCGCGAATACAAGCGGCCGAAATGAATTTCCTCCACAGGGTGGCTGAGCTCAGCCTTAGAGACAGGGTGAGGAGGTCAGACATTTGGGAGGGGCTCAAAGTAGGGCTGCTGCTCCTCCGCATCGAAAGGAGCCAGTTGAGGTGGTTTGGGCATCTATCTAGGATGCCTCCTGGATGGCTCCCTGCACTCTGGGAGGTGTTTTGGGTATGTCCAACAGGAGGAGGCCCTGGGGCAGACCCAGGACATGCTGGAGAGATTAAATCTCTGGGCTGGCTTGGGAACGCCTTGGTATTCCACCGGAGGAGCTGGAGGAGGTGGCTGGGCATCCCTGCTTAGACTGCTACCCCTGCGACCCGACCCCAGATAAACAGAAGAAAACGGATGGATAGATGGACTGATACAATTAAAGGGGCAGGTGATACAATATATAGTGTAAAATAATGTTGTCAGGGTCAGCACCTGTTTGTCCTAGTCGTTCGTGTCTTCTCCCCGTTTGGCCAGCAGGTGTCGCTGGCCATCCTGTCCTCCCCATTGTTAGTCTTTAGTGTTTCCCCTGCTTCCCTGATGGCCACATAGCTCAATGAGCTGAGCATGTGGCTACCTGTCAACTCCTCACTCATATGTTAAAATCCTGCTGCCTCTGTTTTTGTATTTTTTGTAGATTTTGTTTCCTAGTGTTTCATTTGTATGAGTTTTCTAGTTCCTGTGTCTTGTGATTTGTATTTGGTTTCATGCTTTGTGCCCGTGGTTGTGTTTTACCCGTCTGTTATTCTCCTAGTATTAGATTCTGTTTCATAGTTCCTCTGTTAGTTTGAGTTCCTCGAGTTAATTATTAGTTTCCCCTGTTGCCTGTTCTTGTAACTGAACCTTGTGTGTTTCCTGATTGCTCGTTGTCCTGTGCCCTCCCTAATTGGATGATTGTTTCATGTCTCACTCCTTGCGTCATTACCCGTTTTAGTTTCTGTATTTGAATTCCTGTCTTAGTTCATTTCCTGAGTTGGTCATTGATGTATGTCAGTTGTGTATTTCAGTTGTTTTCAGAATGTTAGGAATTACCCTGTGTTTAATTTTTGTACTTCTTGCCTTCCTGCCCACCTGCCCACCTGCCTGCTCCTTGTTACACTGACCCTTTGTAGTTAGTCTTTATTTTTCCTCTTTTTAGTTTTGACTCCTCGCAGTCCTTTTTGTTTTGTAGTGATCCCTGTATTTTCTGTTCAGTTGATAAACCCCTGTTTTGAGGAGCTGCCAGTGGATCATCCACCTTCCTTCCTTCCTGTCTGGACCATGCCTTGCCCCTGTGCCAGAACCCCCGGGTTCATGACAAAAGTGACAACAGAATAATTTAGGTCTTGTGCAACTTGCAATCCCATGTTTCAGATCTGATTGTTGAAGTTTAATCACTGTCAGGACACAAGTGGGATCCAAGGACTGGTTGCAGGGTGAACAACACAAATTGCTGATTATTTACAGCCAGGGTGGGAAAGGCAAAGGCAAAATGCCAGTCACACAAAATGCAGTAGGGAACTAAAGTGTGCAAGGCCACAGCCAAAGGAACTTACCAGGTATCTCAGGCTGCCAGCACCCGTCCATCCCTGCCCTACATGTCACTTACCCGCTTGGCCAGGAGGTAAGTAAACATCCTGTGGTAAACATCAGTGAAACACAGCAAAACTCCTGCTCACTCAACACCAAAAGCATGAAAAACTAAGTGTTGAATAAATGCATGTTATTAGTAGGATGGTTATTCAGGGAATGATGAGGCTAAATATTACAGTACCTCATCATTACCTATGCAAAAAGGAAATCTCCTGTGAGGTCAGTTTCTTTTATAGTTATTTCAAGCATCTAAGCAATTTCAAAAGTTACCTTTATGAGAATTTCACTAATTGCATGTCTTGTGTTTACAATTCTCAGCCAAGGCATGAATTAAAGCTTCAGGTTGGCAAGAACCCAACAAGGAAGGAGCTTCCCGTCAAGGTAACCTGCCTCTCTTACGTCAGCTGTCTTTGTGACTGGGGAATCTTGTGTTTTTCGTAGTAACTTTTAAAATGCTCAATGCCGTTAATTTTGGATTTTTAATACAGTCCAAAACTTAGAGCTCCCAGTGCATACAGTAGTAACATTGCATATAAAGGGGCATTAATTTGATGGTTTGTCTTTTAAACAAAA